AAGTTCTGTGAGTTCTGTGTTTTTGTTGTTCTTGTTTTAAATTCTTACCCAAAGATACATATATTTTTATTGATATCAGGGAGGAAGGGAGGAGGAGAGAGAGACAGAAACATCAATGACAAGAGAGAATCATTGATTGGCTGCCTGCTACACGCCCCCCACTGGGGATTGAGCCCACAATTCGGGCATGTGCCCTGACCAGGAATCAAACCATGGCCTCCTGGTTCATAGGTGACACTCAACCACTGAGCCACGCCATCTGGGCGCTGACAAAATTCTTGACACAAACTGCAGGCGTAAAAAAATACTCTAAAATGACATTCAAACCACAAACAGTACATACCTTAATAAACTAAAGATAGATTAAAATTTTTAATGTTAAAAACCATAAGAGAAATAAAATAAGCAAATAGTTACATATTCTTTGAATGCCTAAATATGACAACAAAGGTAGATTCCTAGAGAAAGATCAATATATTTTTACCAAAAATTGTTAAAGGAATAAAAGGAAGTATTTATTAATTTAATTTGGTTCTTTACTTTTTTTAATCTTTAATTTCTTTATTGGTTAAGGTATTATATATGTGTCCTCATCCCCCATTAACTGCTGCCTCCTCCCCCCCGGAAGTATTTATTATAGTGAAGAATATTTAAGGTGTACTAAAGTTAAGGAGTACTTATTATAATGAATAGGAAGCCACCTAAAGTCCAATACAGCAGATCAATAATAAATCATTCGGACAATACTATGAAACAATTAAACATGACGTGTGGTATTTTTTGGCGTGTGTGTATTTTTTTAGTGAAAGCAGTTTTATTATAGAAAAGCTCCCTGCTACAGGGAGGGGACCCAAGCAGGTTGCCCTGATGTTTTGAAAGTCTACTTAAATAACAGGAAAAAACTGTACAAAACCATGCATGTATCCTAATCTGTATAAAAAGATCATATACAAAGTCTTAGAGTTATCTCTGGGCTGTGGTATTATAGATGTACTTTCTTCCCTTTTTTTTTTAAATCCTCACCCAAGGATGTGTTAGTTTTTTTAATTGATTTTTTTTTTGAGAGAGAGAGAAACATCAATGTGAGAGAAAAAGAGCAGATGCCTCCTCTGCACCGCAACCAGGGATCAAACCCAAAACCTTTTTGGTATATAGTATGATACTCCAACCAACTGAGCCACCCAACCAGGGTAATGTACTTTCTTTTTGATTTATTGTAGAGGCCCGGTGCACAAAAATTAATGCACTTGGGGGGTGGGGAGGGGGTCCCTCAGCCTGGCCTGTGCCCTCTCACAGTCTGGGACCCCTCAGGGGATGTCCATCTGCCGGCTTAGGCCTGCTCCCCAGGAGATTGGGCCTAAGCTGGCAGTCAGACATCCCTCTCACAGTCCTGGAGCCCTCAAGGGATGTCCAACTGGGTGGGCCTAAACTGGCAATTGGACATCCTTAGTGCTGCCGCGGAGACAGGAGAGGCTCCCGCCACTGCCACTGTGCCTGCCAACCATGAGCCCAGCTTCTGGCTGAGCAATGCTCCCCCTGTGGAAGCGCACTACCAGGGGCAGCTCCTGCATTGAGCGTCTGCCCCATGGTGGTCAGTGCACATCATTAGCGACCGGTGGTTTTTACAGTTTAGTCTATTTACATATTAGCCTTTTATTATATAGAATGTATTTTCTAAATTTTCTATAATCAGCATGCACTGCTTTTTTAAAAAAATTAAGTTTTCATTTTCTTTTTTTTTATTGATTTTAGAGAAGAAAGGGGAGGGAGAGAAAGATAGAGACATCAATGATGAGAGAGAATCATTGATCAGCTGCCTCCTGCAAGCCCCCTACTAGAGATCAAGCTTGCAACCTAGGCATGTGCCCTTGATTGGCATTGAACTCAGGACCCTTCAGTCCGCAGGCTGATGCTCTATCCACTAAGCCAAACCAGCTAGGGCTTTATTTTCAATAAAATAGAAAAGAACTGTTTTCTCATAATGTGCTGTGGTTGATATAATACAACCATTACTTAACCCCTTCCCCGGCAGAAACGTGTATACACGTTTTCACAAAATGTTCTTTTTTCAGTCGTCGACGAGTATACTCGTCTAAAAACTTTACCTTCAAAAACCAGCTACATACGTACCATTCTAAATAATTTCATCTAGAAACTTTCTGAGGAAATACTATTCTTAACCACAAAAATGGGAAGAAAAAATAATTACAAACTGTTTTCATAACCAGCATCAAAAATACTATATAGAACCAAAATAAAAAAATTAGTCTGAAAAAGAAACGTTTTTAACAAAAAAATTATTGGGGAAGGGGTTAATATAGTACCAATCAATAGATTGTAATGACTTACTCCCTTCCCCAAAGCAATTACTACCTGGAACTTAATATTTCCTCCACTCCAGGAATCTAAACTTTTACTTAAATATGCTCAAGTATACCACAGACCATTTCAAAAATATACTCACGAGGGTATCATTAATTTAAAGCAACTTTAAAGAGCAGGTATACATTCATTTGATGTTGAGAGGATCTTAAAATTCTTTAGAACCATAGGTAAAAGGGAGCAGCGATACTTATGGACTGAATGTTTGTGTCCCCCTCAGATTCATGTTGAAGCCCTATTCCCCCAATATGGTAATATTTGGAGATAGGGCCCTTGGGAGTAACTAGGTTTAGATAAAGTTATGGAAGTGAGGCACCACCATAGGATTAGTGCCCTTAGCAGAAGAGGAAGAAAGACCAGAGGTCTCTTCCATGTGAAGGCACAGTGAGGAGGCAGTAGCCTGCAAGCCAGCAAGATGGCCTTCGCCAGGAACCAAATCTACTGGCACCTTGACCTTTAATCTGCCAGACTCCATAACTGTGAGAAATAAATGTCTATAAATGCCACTTAGTCTATAGTATTTCAGCAGCCTGAGTTGACTAAGACAGAAACTGAAAAAATTTAGCTGGACATGAAATAAAACCAACTTAAATGTTGTTTGCTGTTACAAAAACTTACATCCAAACTAAAATAGACTCCTCTAACTCTTATTATCTAAAAAAACAAACTTAGAACCATCTTACTTTTTATACCTTACACTTTTATGGTATATGTGGAAGTAAATAACAGAGAAGCAATATATGAAAGATAGAATTTTTTCAATTTATTCATTCAGTAAATACTTATCAAGGTTTGTATTGTGTCATACACTAGGGATATAGATGAAAGCTGTAGCACCCACAGGGAGTCACAATTTAACCATGGAGACTGTGTAGTAAACAAATATTTCAATGAGTAAGTTACAGAACTAATAAAAGGAGAGAGTGGGAAACTCTAGTGGAAGTAGAAAGTCAGAGAAGGTTTCCCAGAAAGCTTTCCTTTGGTCTACCATAATTTATTTAATCAATCTAGTGGCTCATATTAACTTATTTAACTTTTTTTTTCTTTTTAAATCCTCACCCAAAGACTACCATAATTTATTTAACCAACCTAGAGTCTTGAAGAAAAAAGGATGAAATAGCATGACATCAAGTAAACTGGGGAAATTTTAGTAGGATAGAATGCTAGGACACTAGAAAATAACAGAAAAGCTAAATAGGGGTCAGATCACAGAGTATCTTATACCCTGCTAGGCTTATCATGTAGGCAATGAGAAGCAACTAAAGGTCTTGTTTTAAGCAAGGAAGTGACATGATCAGCTTGGTCTTTCAATTATACCACATAGGTTGTACTGGAAGAGTTCACTGAAACAGAAGAGAGTGTCAAAATATCCCACAGGTGAGATAAAGTGAGCCAAACTAAAGGAGTAAGGGTGGCGTCACATCTGAGAAGTAAAATTGAATAGGAGTATATGATTATTTCTACACTAGTGTGAATAGCAGTCTGGATGGTAGTGTCATTAAATGAACTTGGACAAATAAGACATACTGTTTTAGAAGATGTTAAGTTTCGGATATATGGTATAGATGTCTTTATCTATATCTGTAGCTGCATTCCTGAGCCCTACTATCCTAAGACACTGCTCCAGAGTAGAAGCTGGGCTTTGTAGTCTGCTTTAAGGTCTAAAGGTGAAAGCTGCTGCATCAAGTCACTCCTTAAACTAGTTTTTCTGAAGTGTTGGTCCTTATTCTCATTTTAATCCATAACAAAGTTTTACTAGACCATAGTGAAATGAGAAACAAAGAAAGCTAAACATCCCGTTTTTAATTTATAAATTATTGTCCTTCCCTTCCACTCTCCCTGCTTTTTGATATTAAAATAGTCTCAGTTTTGTAAAATAATGTTGATGGTAGATATTTATAACATCACTTGGCAAGATAAAAAGTTGGCAACACTATGTAGATGTTCTACCCACTCCATCTTTGTTAAAAATTTTACAGATCTTGTGAAATTCAGAAGTCTGGGCACCTGTGACTTTAAAGGATTTAAAAGAAGAAACATATTAGAAAAACTCAGTAAGTAGGAAAGATGGCACATTGGTATCATTTTTCAACGTCTAGGAAATATAATTATGCTAATTTAGGAATCATCTGACTCTCCAATTCTCTTATCTTCTCTTACAAGCCTCTTGCTTTATTACCAACCTTCTCCCTCTGGTCCTGTACAGTTTTATATCTTATTCAGTATCAATTTCTGATTTTCTGTTTGGTTCGTTTTGATTTGATTTCTAAGTATTGGTCTATGCACCCTCCCTTTTATTAATTTTCAAAGTTACATTTTCTAAATAAGGCCCCCAAATTTAAATTATTCTACAAGTTTCTTAATTCTCTATTATCTCTATTTACTTGAATTACCAAAGGCATTTTGTATATCTTTTTGTTTTGGTTTGCTGTTTATTTGTTTTTTAAAGGTAACATGTTCATCACAGCACAGCAAATTTAGAAAAGGACAGAAAATCATATAGGAAAACATTAAAATAAACCATAATTCTACCAATCAGAAATAACCATTATATTTTAAATCAATGCTAGAATCATAGCATATACAATATATCAGTAAATGCCTTTTTAAATCACAATTTTAAAATGTTTGCATAGTATACCAAGGACTACCATAATTTATTTAACCAACCTAGTGGCTCAATTTTTTTTAAACAAGGGATG